ATGTTCGTCCATGTAGTAAGCAAAATGCTGTTCTGCTGAATCTGCCTGCTCATCATTTAAATTTCACCAACTAGTTAGCTTAGAGAGGGACGGGAGCTCTCCGCATCCGTCTCTCTACCCTTCCCTGTCACCGCTCCAAACCCCACTCAAGTCCTACGACGAGAGCGACAGCGATCTCGTAGGCGACCCAGGCTAACACTTGTCGTTCTCACACTAAACACAAAAGTCGTGACCCATAGTGGAGTTCGGCAGTCGTCTGGGACAAGTGAGCAGCCGTATTTAGGGAGAGCACTGCTCATACCCTAGCGGGGGAGGGGTTAGAAAAGGTGCCCTGAACAAACGCTAGTTTCACGCCCTCTGAGCTCTGACCGTGGCTCGCAGACGCAAAACTCACGGTCGAAACAACCAAACAAGAAATAACACTCTCTTCCCCCTCACAACCCCCCCAGTCCATCCCACTCGTCAGACTGGTAGGCTGAGTCCACTCCCTCCGCCAGCCTCAGAGAGTCCGAGGGGCAACCGAACGAAACGGAGGACGGCGCTAGTGGCTCAGGAACTGGCGCGCTACAAGGTAGACATCACTGCACTCACCGAGACCCGCTTCTCCAAACAAGGCCGACTGGAGGAGGTGGGTGCTGGCTACACTTCCTTCTGAAGTGGTCACCTCAGGACAGGGCGACGGGACGCGGGCGTCCCCTTTGTCATCTGGAATGACATCTTGGGACGACGGCCCTATCTGCCGCAAGGTATCAACGATCACCTGATGAGCCTTCACCTGCCTCTCCGGGTTGACAAACTCGCCACCATCGTCAGAGTCTAGGCCAACCAATGAGCAGCCCTTTCGCTGCAAGGGAGCAATTCTACGAGGACCTGCGCGTCCTCCTGGCGACTGTGCCGAAGGCCGACAAGTTGATTGCCCATGGTGATTTAGACGTCCGCGTTGGCACACACCATGCTGCCTGGAGAGGAGTTTTAAGTACCCATGGTCTCGAGGGCTCCAATGACAATTGCCTGATCCTCATAAGAACCTGCGCAGAACATCGTCTTATCTCGGCTAACACCTTCTTCCGTCTCCGTGGGGAACCGATGGGGTTAACTGCGGGACACAGTTCAGCCGACGGCCCTAGCTTTTGTCGTTCGGGCACGTTGTCAACATCAAGATTGGCTCGATGAAAACGACGCCGCCATCAGCAACGTACTCGTCGAGGAGAACGGCCTGCACAAAGCCTACGTCACCTGCCCCACCGACGACAACAAAGCAGCCTTCTATCGTGGTCGCCGCCTTGTGCAACAGAGGCTGCGGGAGATGCAGCACGCTTGGACTGCTCGCAAGGCCGAGGAAATCCAAGGATACGCGGCCCGCAAGGAATGGAAGAATTTCTTCGCCTTGATCAAGGCTGTCAGCGGTCCGCCAACCAAAGCAATTGCTCCCCCTCTCAGCGCCAACGGAACCACCCCACTCAATGAAAGGACATCAATTCTACAGCGATGGGTCCAGCAATTCAGAGGCGTCCTTAACCACCCCTCCGACATCACCGACGCCGCCGTCGCCTGTCTGCCTCAAGTGGAGACCAACGTCGACCTCGACCTCCTGCCCTCTCTCCACGAAACCATCAGGCCGTACAACAACTTGAAGAAGGAGACACGATCGCCGGGACAAGAGCTTTATTAGCCTGACGTTTCGGATTCCCACTCGAATCCATCATCAGAGACAAAAAAGCAGAAACGGGTGGTTGCTGCACAAGGGGCTGCGGCATTTATAGGATGCAGTAGCCATGCTACCGCATACCTACGAACATTCACGGCTCCCCCCTTCATCCGGGATCGTCGCACTTGGTGTGATCACTGCTTGATGGCCGACATTGGAGTCGATAATTGCTGCAATTTCATCACGTGCGTTGGATGTTGGCGTGATGATTGCTCGACCATCTGACGCACCGACCCCGGTGTTGGGAAAAGTGTTCACCTCTGCGCTCCCCGCATGGCTTGTTACTCCGCCTAGGCGAAATTTTAGCACGCAGTATGGAGTGGGAAGCTCTTTGCACTTGTTGATGGACTGAGGGCCAGTAAACCATGATTACAGTAGCTCCCGGCTCACGCGGTTGTCACCTCTTGCGAGAATTTCGGCCTCATCGAATTTGAATGTGTGGCCGGATCTCATCGAATGAGCCGCAACTTGAGAGCTGGCGCAGCGGTGCGCAGAAATGACGCCTTTCACTCTCCTTACTCTCAACTCCACTATCTTACCCCACGGTCAGAAAGTCCTACGGCAAAGGCTGCATGCAATCACGTAGGCGGCTAAGAAAAGTGGGCGTTCTCTCACTAAACCCCGTGACCCATATTGGAGAGCGGTATCCATCTGGTGCGACAAAACAGCCTTATTTAGGGAGAGCGCTGCTTTCCCCGCAAAGGGGCGGGGACTATGAAGTAGCCCTAAACAAAGCTGGGTTCACATCTGCGCAAGACACAGTACTCTACCTCTCCTCCCCTACTCCTCTCCGCCCCACCATACAGGCAGCTAGGGTGAGTCCGATCTCTCTAGCAGCCTGGAATGTTTGTTCCCTTCTAGACGATCCCAGGTGCAACTGACCGTAACAGAGGACAGCGCTAGTCGCTCGAGAAATGGCGTGCTACAAGGTGGACATCACCGCACTCAGCGAGACTCGATTCTCCGAACAAGGTCAATTGGTGGAGGTGGGTGCCCGCTACACCTTCTTCTGGAGCGGTCGCCCCAGACTAGAGCGACGAGTCGCGGGCGTCGCCTTCGCCATTCGGAACGACATCGTGAGACGACCGCCCTGTCTGCCGCAGGGCATCAACGATCGGAAAGAGTGTAGGCGAGGAATACGAAGACGGTGAAGAATCTTGGTACTCAGTCATATGAAATCAGACTGGTTGGACTTAATTTGCTTCCTCTAAATTACTGCGCGGCGACCTCATTCAGACCCTTCGGATTCTTAGAGGCTGTTAATGTGTCCTACCGCTCGGGACTTCTTTGGGCTGGCTGGAACAGGCTGCCTGCGTGGTCGGACATTTAAATTGCAAAGGAAGTCGGCCCAGACGGATGTCGAAACGCCTTTTCCCAGAGAGTAGACAGAGTCCGGAACGGACTATGCTGCCGTGGTGCCTTCAAACACTACTGAAACAATAAAATGCACATTCGTTATCCGTTTGCTGAAAAACTACTGCAATATAGTCATGAGTGTATCGGTAGTGGCAGTTTGCGACTGGCTCACACATACCGACGACTTTACGCTTTCCTGATTTACTGCTGTAACAGTGATTTTATCACTTTTCACAAATGAATATGGAATTTAAGGGTGAAAACCCCACCTTTAGAAAAAAGTGACTAAAATTAAAATGGCCCACTTCGGACTGCTGGAAGTAAAGCATTCCAGTACATGAAGGGAGGAAAATATGGGGAGAGGAGTTAACTGCAATGCGAATCAAAGTTCGACGGGCTGAAGACCCCCCTCTGTAATCTATCCCTTGACGTGATATTTTTAACAGAAACCAGATTGACACAGCACGTGGACGACCGTGAGTTAACTTTGCCTGGCTACCAGCTGTTTAGAATGGACAGGGAGGAACGTCACGGAGGAGTACTGACGTAGGTGAAACATGGGGTAAATGTATCAGGCAAAACCAGTAAATGTTCGTGCACTTCCGAGGCAATTTGGCTGTCCATTAAAATGCCTGGCTCACCAAGCCTCGATGTCCTGACAGTCTATCGACCGACGAGAAGGGACAACGTCGCCGACGCTCTCCTGCTGGATGAACTCGGAAAGTTTGCTACGCGGCCGGATATCCTGATCATGGGTGACCTTAACGCGCCTCACATTTACTGGAGCTCGACCCACGCAAAAAGCTAAGAAAAGACCTTCGATGGGAGTTTGGTGAACACGACACTGAAGTTATTTCTCACTCCACGTTTCCAACTAGAGTACGCAAAGACCAACAGGCCAACTGCCTTGGTGTTGTCCTTACGAAATCACAGGACAGCACTGATGAGGTGTCATGCCTACCCCTGGGTAAGTGACCACGTCGTTCTACTTTGAGATTACTTGCTCTTTTCTATGCTCGAGAAAACCATGACAGTTAGAATAAATACCTGGCGGGGAGATTTTGATCAAATGAGGGCTGAAATTACACGCATTGAGTGGTAATCGACATTTGTTGAAAACGTACTCGAGGACTGGCAAAATTTCCGAGAAGTACTGCACAGGCTCATCACAAACCACTGTCCGCTTCCACGAAAGAGGTTAACTAACAGACCTCTAGGGTTTGCGCAAGTCTTAAAGAATGATGCGAATAAAAAACGAAGGGCGTGAAAAAAATCGCTTACTGACAGGAGCCTCACATCCATAAGTGCGTACAACGTTCAAAGAAATCGTGTCAAAGGCCTTGTCCTCAGAACAAGAAGAGAAATCGAACTACGTCTGCTTAACTATGTCGCAGAGAACCCTAAATTATTCTACGGTTACATAAGACAGAGCACGCGTAACAAGGACCCATTACTATTGCTAAGAACTGCTGAAGGCGAAAATCCCCCTGAAAAAAGAGCGAAGGCTGATCATCTTTCAGAACTTTTTTCCGTCTGTTTTTAGTAGAAAAGTTGGGTTAAACCCTCACGCAAGTGACTCCGAAAAGGTCTCACTTATTTAGACCGTTCTGTTGGCTGAGGGCACGATTCTGATAAAGCTGATGTAGCTAAAGGAATCAACATTACCAGGTCCCGATGAGATTTCGGCGAAGATTTCGAAGGAAGTCGCCAGTGAGTTGGATAAATTACTCTCTATACTTTTCTATACATCCCTCGCGGCCGGATGTCTGCCAGCCGACTGGAAATCGGCGTGGATTACGCCGCTGTATAAGGGGGAAGTCGGGCCCCTACAAACGATTACAGACCGGTCAGCCTTACCTCCATTTGCCACAAGATCATGGAGAAAATAATTAATTAACAATTGATGCAGTCCTTTGAGCAAAACTATTTACTTTCCGATTTCCAGCATGCATTCCGCAAATACAGGTCCTGTGTGACAAACTTGCTCTACTGTCTGGAACACTGGACTCGAACTGCTGATAGAGAGAATATGCAGTATGTCATTACTGACATAGACAAGGGAGACTGGAATGGCCATTTCTGGCTTATTAGCCGTCGTCAGCCAGTCATAACCAGCTCCGAAGTGTGTGGAACACCCGAGGCTCGAACTGGCGACCTGTTAGTTAGAAGTCCACGCCTCTAACCACTGGGCCACAGGCCCGTTGCCTTGTCGGATTCGATGGAAAGGCGCTCACCGACCGTTCTTATGGAACTCACTCGTTCCGTTGTGCCTTATGGGCTCTCTCTCGAGCCCAAACAGCAGCCGCACACGGCGCATGATATAGGCAGAATGGTACTACCGACAAAGACAAGGGAGACTGCAATGGCCATTTCTGACTTATTGGCCGTCGTACCGGTGTTCCACACTTCGGGATTGGGTATGAGTGGCTGACGACGACGGATGTCAGCGTATGATCCAATGAATTGTGACTGAAGTTTCAGTGTTTGTTTCCATACTACTTGGCCCATTTCAGTGACGAGTTTTGATACTTCACAATTTGGGAACACCAGCAACACATTGGCACATAGTAGTGTTTACCAGATAGTTACATGCTTGCTGTATTTAAATATTTAACCAATCTTCTTCCCAACTTTCTCTTTGTATTGGCGTTTTTGCGACGTTATTGTAACCAACAGTTCGGCCGTCCTGCCTGACCATGTCCACCGTATGCTCCGCAGCGAGGTGAGAGCAGGCACGGTGATTTGTGTGTGAGTTGGTTCGTAGTGGTTTGTAGCACAGCATCTACCGCACTCCCCTCTCTTCCCCACCTGGGCCCGATGTCAAGACAGAGTCAAGAAGACCGGAGGCGAAGAGGGGCGCAGGTGGATGGCACAGCCGGGCCCGCACCTTGGCGCCCCACTTCACAACCCCTGGTCCACACCGGAAATGACCAGGATCTTAGCTAACAACACCACAACGGGTCAGAGGGACGAAGATGACTGAGCAGCCATGCTCACAGCCTGTATATCCAGAGAGCAGGGAGCTCAAAGGCGTTTGCCCACCTTTCCCTTAGTAAAACTGAATTTAATTAAACCGATATAGTCAAACCTTATTATAGGTCAAGACAAGTGGTTTTATCATGTCCACACTCTCTGAAATGGGGGCCCTGTGAAGTCGACCC